TCACATTGACAATTTGAACATCATAGTATTCCTATAATATAAAACTGCATAACACGCTGAAAGAGACATTTTCTGGATTACTGTAACTGTTCTTTTCATACTTTAAATATTGTTCTCATAATATCTGGCATGTGCACAAGTAATACCTAATTCTGGACCCCATCAGAAGCTCTCTCATCTGTCTAAACTAATCTTAATGAATAAATAAATAAACAGACTAAGCGTAAGTGCAGCATAATGATATACAGCCATAAAAACATACTAAAGAAAATATTATAAAATAAATAAATAGCAGTGACACAGAGGCACCAAGTGCTTCTGTAAAGTAATACAATTTCTGGGGTTGAAAACTATCTTCAAGGCAGTTGGTTTGTGAAAGAAAACTGCCCATGTGTGCTGGGTGGGTAGTCCTGTAAGATGGGTAATGCATTCCTCCTGCAGCAGGTGGTGTAAATGTCCTGTACCTGTGATAGTGGTGGTCCAACAACTTTTGAAGTAGTTTTTACTGTCCTCTCTAAGTGTATAGTCCTTTGATGTATTGTGTCCACCCATATCGGTATGCTTTTTGTAAAACGCTTTTGAATTATCGCTCTTGAGAACTTCACAGGAGACAGCCGCTGATGTTTAAGGGCAAGGACAGCAGGTCAGTGACCTGGATGCCAAAGAACTTGAGGGAATTAACTATTTCAACAACAGTGATATAAAGAACTTAAAATCATTTTTAAATCATTTTTAGCATTGATCAATGGATCAAACATTCACAGTGATCTAGACACCAGGACCTCAAGCAAATCTTCTACTCGGTCATATTCCTTCATGAATACAGAAATAAACTCAGAAGACTTTTTTTGTTGATCATTATCCATCTCACAACCTGGAATGTAATGAAATATAGAGGTATTCCAATAGAGGAACAACACTTCTTCAAAGCTTACTAAAGGTCTCTTGGCTAAGATTATCCTTTTAGATCATTAAGCCATTCTGAATCTGAGAGGCAGTCTCATTTCATGGCCCTTTGAGGTGAGTCTCACTGACTCTTGGGATGCAGAGGGTCGCAAGGAAGACCCTGCTCGAGTCTCTAGCACTGAACTGCTCAGGGGCTCCAAGCTACCTGGCTACTGGGTCAAGGTAGGTAACTACCTTTTCCACAAACAGCTCGAAGGCAAACTAACCGATTTAGGTAAAATTCTCAATTTAAGATTTTTTACCAAATTATTCAACCGAACAAATTTGTACAGCCGTTTAAAAAGGGTTCAAGCAGAATTCACTTACAAAGACAAAGTAGTGAATTTCATTAAATTAACATTTTACCAAAAACTAAAAAAACATTGTGTGGTTATGTTACGTCCCTCGGCCAGAACTGAGCTATTTACTACAACCATGTGATGAGAATTGGTACTACACCAGATGTAAATAATTACTGCATCGCAAAACTCCACGGAAGAGAGCATATATCATTGTTGGAGCCATGGGTGGATGTAATTGTCTTTGTGGTATTTATCTAAGGTTAAGGTAGTCTGTTATATGGGTATGACGTGACGCTCATTTTTTTTTGTGTCCATAAGGTTTAGTTAACTTTTAAAGGCTTAAAATTTAAAAATAAATGCACAAATGACATGCTTTCATCCTTTCTTATGAGGACCTAGTCTAAAATGTATATTTATTATACATTTTTAGAGAATAATTGGGGTATTTAGGCTTTACATCCTGTACATTTGTGTTTTTTAATGTTAATTTTATTGTTGTGTTGTTACTTTGTTGTTTTTATCTCTGCTCTGTAAGGTGACCTTGAGAGTTTTGAAAGGCGCCTTTAAATAAAATGTATTATTATTATTATTATTATTATTAATAATAATAAAAATGTCTAAGTGGTGTAACCGTTGAAACTTCGTACCAAAGAATTAAACTTGCTTTAAAAAGGTTAAATTTTCATACAACACCCTATGAACTAGCCTGGCATAATCTTACAATAGAACTGTTCAATAGTAAATAAAAGTAATGGAACATCATTGTTCTTATTATTATAATTATTTTAGGGAAATCATGTCACCCAGTCAAGTACCAAATTGTCAACATGGTGTAACCACCATTGAAGGAGCCATTTTGTTAATATATTCATCATATCATGTGACAAGAAATGTTATCACAAAGAAGAACCCCTGATGGTCCTAACTGCTGCAGGCCATGTTTAGCAACTCTCTTTAAAACATGAGATAATTGGACATTTAATTTGGACACAAATTTGATTTGAAGTGGAAATGTCAAATGGTGTAACACTATTTGACTTTTATGACAAGCCTTTCTGTTAGAGGCCACTTTTGTCAAATATCAGTATGTTTATGTTGATTAAAGTGGTTATTCATCCACAACCTTATTATCAAAGGTCTAGGACAAAATGCCCTGGCATTTTGTAAATGTTTAGCTTCAAATTGCATATTGTTGTTCCATTTACTTACATTTATAAAGGTGCACTATGTAGTTTTGGTAGAGAAATGTTAAAGTTGGAGAAATGTACAGATTATGTGGTATATGTCCATCATAACTCTAAACACAAACTGTCCTCAGATGAAAATTTGGTCCCTGTAACACTGAAGATAAAATGCTACTGGAGAAGTTATGGTGGTGGGCCCGCAACAGTGAAACCGTAACTCTCCTGGTAATATATATATATATATATATATATATATATATATATATATGTTATATCTCCAAACAGTGTTCCAGGGACCCATTTTTTACTTTAAATAAAGTTTGTGTATTCAGTTCAGAAAATATATCAAAAAATTGTTTCACTTCTCCAACTTTCAAATTTCACAACCAAATCTACATAATGCACCTTTAAACATGTATGATCTAATATATGTATGTATCCTGTAATATTGGCACCAGGAGTTGCATTTTAGATGTGTCGGCTATCAGGGGCCATGTGGTAGGTAGTATCAGCATGTCACTACCTGGAGCTTGCTTGCCAAAGTCTGGTACTATACAAGGTGGCAATGCTGTTTGGGCTGTGATGGCCATGATGTAAAGAAGGAGAGATGTAAAGTGTTGCCTGTGGGTATGTTATCCTTTGATTAGGGCACAAGTACCTTGAGTTTATTCCAAATACTGAAGAAATGAATTCCCCCTGAAGATTCTGGTCAGATGTTGTAATTTACTTAAGATATGAATTAATTAAGGATGCACTGATCCTGACTATGACAGCTAGATCAGGTATCAGTAAGAATTTGCAGATCTATGAGACCCATCCAAAAGATCTATGCACTTCAGCTATATTCAATTTCTTCAAGAAACAATGGCCTTTGACTGTAGAAGCAGTATGGTCAGTTGGTGTAACTGGTTTGCGTCAATTGGTGTAACCAGTATTTCTTGTAAAAAATATAATAATATACAGGACAATGAAAGTTGAATAAACATAGTCCTCTATTGCAGTGAAATAACATGTTTTTTTTAACAATTTTTACATAATTTGCCAAAAATTAATTTGAAAACAGAGGTGGTTTCAGCTTTGTGTCCCGCTCAGTATTGAAAAAGGGCATAACTTATAAATTTAGGGATAATCCTAATAAAATCTATTTTCTTGTGCTATTTTAAAATGAAGTAATTAAAATCATGAGTACACTTACATATACTCTAGATGTATAAAATATTCAATATTCTTAATTTTTCAGTGGTTACACCACATTTTTAGGTCCATTTAGTCTTACCTTTTGAAAAAAAAAAGTTTAAATGTCATTTTAAAAAACACAAAACCAACATGAATACAAATCTCACATCTTAATGAACCTGATGCATACTTTCAAATTGTGTTTTTAAAAGATTTTTGACTTGGTCATCTGAACAACCCTTATTTGTCACTGACCCATATATTGGTGTTTTGGGTTATTGATTATTTTATCATTTATTAGGATTGTGTTGAGTGGGGGGGGGATGTCGGGTCACATGGGTGGACATGTGTTGATTTAACTCACCTGTTCACTTTTTGTTCTCAGTGGAAGAGAGGAGGTGAGCTGGTTTACCATATTTTTTTTTGACCGCTATTGTTTCTAGTTCACTGTGATTATGAGTTAATGCACGTTATTATAAGTTAAGTTGATTATCTTTTTTACGTTAATAAAAAAGTCAAACTTATTTTGACGTGACACAGTATTCTTTTGAAAGCGCGTCGGACAAATATATTAGGCGCCCAACCTCAGCCTCTCAGCGGCTTCATTGTTCAGGAAAGCCGCTATAATCATGCTTCGTCTTTTACTTACTTTGAGTGACAGGACATACTAAGGACATGGCGCAAAAAGAGAATTTTCCTCCGCTTTATGGCAGCAGTTTCGGGGTTTGTTTTTCTGCTCCATCAACATGCCAATAATGTCCATAATATTATGTCCTTACACTACCATCTGTTGGATGAACTGAATAGCCCTTACGCAGACGGCGAGACTGGCTTGAAAGCAATGATAGGGTTTTAGAGCTGTTCAAACATTATGAGGTCTAATGCAGTGATTTGGTCCAATTAGGCTACAGAACAAATTGAGCTGTTAAGTGCAAGATGAACAAAGCTTAAACACAAAGTCCGTATAATATGGTTTAAAGGTTTCAAAAGTGTCCAGGCAACATAGCCTATTTTGGCTTTTTTAAATAAAACACCCATTTAAAGACCATTCCCATTCAAAGAAGGGAATTTGAAAATCACAGATTTAAATATTTGCAAAGACGACACCATCAGAACAAAGTGCAACGAACACGGTACAGCAGAAGTAAAAAAAAAAAAGTTGAAAAGGTAGGCTACAGATATTTAAGAAAAAGGTATGATCAATCTAGCTCTCTATTGGTCTTACTTTGGATAAAAGTACACTTTGACTTCTCTTCACTGACAAATATAAATTAACTTTCCACCATATTTCAATAATTGTTTTATGGTCACTGATTAACATGTTGTTATAGCCCTTATCCATGAATGAAGAGGTCAGAGTCTGATCCAACCAATACAGCTGGTCCTTGGCCAAGAGTCAATTACATAATGCTTCTCCTTCACAGGATAAATAAATAGGGGTGACTCCAGGAAAAGAAAACAATCACAGAGGAAGTAAGGACAGCACAGGTTTATGTTGGACTGAGTTGAGCCCTTTCTTGGATGATGGATTCTATCTTTTCTGTAATTGGATGCTTTGTCGACTGGGATGTGAAAAGCTTTTTGCTCTTCACAGTAGTTTTCATTCTCACTGCTGACTATATTAAGAACCGTCGGCCAGCCAGCTATCCTCCAGGACCTCAAGCATTTCCTATAGTGGGCAACATGTTCTCTGTCGACCACAACAGGGGTCATGAGAGTATGACACAGGTAGCTCAACAAAAAACAATTAAGAAAAACAAGAGGTCAACTGAAAGGACTTATCATCCTTTAATCTCTTGTTATAACTTTGTTTTTCTTTGAATCCACTCACAGCTAGCAGGGAAATATGGAGATGTGTACAGCCTGCGGATGGGCCAGGAGTGGGTTGTGGTCTTAAATGGGTATGAGGTTTTGAAAGAAGCTCTTGTAAATCAGGGAGACAGTGTGGCTGACCGCCCACCCCTCCCTATGTTACAGGACATAAGTGAAGAACTTGGTAAGAGCATGTAACGCACACACACACATGCACTAAACACAACTAAAAACATATGCAAATGTGTGTTTACACACACAACTCAACTCACTTAATCTGGCTCCTGTGTAGTCTTTAGTCAGTGAACAAGTTGATCTAAAAACATGTTTGTGACAAAGTATTTCCCATCAGGTATAGTGTTCAATAGCGGGCACATGTGGAAGCAGCAGAGGCGCTTTGCCCTTTCAACTCTCAGATATTTTGGAATTGGAAAGAAGTCACTTGAACCTGTCATCTTAGATGAATTCACTCATTGTTCAACAGAAGTCCAAAGCTTTAAAGGTAAATATTCAATTACATGATCGCACCTGCAATGACAAACAACAACAAATACACAAGTTATAACTGCTTTTCTGTTCCAATTTGGAGGTAAGCCCTTCGATCCAAAACTCATCATTGGCAACGCTGTCTCCAACATCATCTGCTCCCTGGTTTTTGGGCATCGATTTGAGTACACTGATGAGAAGTTCAGGAAACTGATCAGCTGGTTTGAGATAGCACTCCAGTTTCAAGCCTCAATTTGGACACAGGTACCAATTCTCAGCAGAGAATGTTACAGACATAAAAATTCCTTGCAGAAATGATTCCTTTTTCTTTTCATCTGCTCAACTCTGCAGTTTTACAACTCGTTCCCTAAGCTGATGAGATGTTTGCCGGGGCCACATCAGACAGTCCTGCGGGTGTGGAAAGATGTGAAGGACTTCATTAGAGGAGAGCTTAAGGAGCACAAAAACAATTGGGACCCCTCGGACCCAAGAGACTTCATTGATTGCTACCTGAAGGAGATCCAGGAGGTGACTGGAATTTTGTATTGTTTACACTGTGCTGTTAAGGAAGACACTAAGTGTTCAGTTGTGACTCACAGCACTATCTTTAAGGCCGTGCCTCTGACAGAAAACAACCCATTTAATCAAAGCATTAAACAAATAAAGCACAGCCTATAAAACAATTAACAAGGTACAAGTTCCAGGACAGCTAAATGTTTTTGGGTTGACATGCAATATATTTTCAGAGTAAAGGGCAAGCTGACAACACTTTTGATGAGGAAAACCTGGTCATTTCTGTGTTTGATCTGTTTGTGGCCGGCTCTGAGACCACATCCACCACCCTGCGCTGGGCTTTCCTTTACATGGCCAAGTACCCAGAGATCCAGGGTAAGAGCACTGACCAGGCCAGTTCTTACTGGATGATGTACAAATATGTTAAAAAGACATTTATTGACACATTGCATGCACTCATCAAGTCTCTAATATTTAATTTTGCAGCCTGTTAATGAATTAATTTTTTAGCTCCTGACTATTTATCTTCCTGTTTCACAGCAAAGGTCCAGGCTGACATAAACAGAGTGATTGGACAGTCCAGACAGCCGTCAATGGAAGATCGTGTAAACATGCCCTATACTGACGCTGTCCTCCACGAGGTCATGAGAATGAGCAACATAGTACCTCTAAGCCTGCCTCATATGACCAACAAGAATATCCAGCTGGGAGGCTACACAATCCCAAAGGTCAATATGATATGATATGATATGATATGATATGATATGATATATGATATGATATGATATGATATGATATAATGATAATATTTCAATCACAAGGGAACTACAATAATCCCAAATTTGACCTCGGTGCTGTACGACAAGAATGAGTGGGAGACCCCCTTCACCTTCAACCCAGGACACTTCCTGACTGAGGAGGGGAAGTTTGTGAAGCAAGCTGCCTTCATGCCTTTCTCTGCAGGTGAGGAACAAAACAATCCCAGTTTTCTAAGCATCTTTTACTGTTAATAGAGGATCCTGGGCTTTTACCAGCATAATATGGGACCCTAGGAGGGGTCTCATATAATATTGTAGATTGGCCAAGAGCAAACGTTCACTATCAAGAAGAGAACAAATACATGAGATCATAATCAGATCCAGATTTGTTCATGGCAGCTTGTTTACTTTTGGAGGGTCATGTTAGAAAGATTGGCAGTGGGAAGAGTTAATAAACACTCACTTGCATTCGAGCCCAAAAATATAAATATTTACATAAAATTAAAGTTCAATTTTAAGAAGATAATTTTCAAAAGTTCTTTCAATTATGAAACCATTAAAGACTGAAGTCACACATTGTACAAAGTAAATTAAGAGATAAAGATTTAGAGTTTTTGAACAGTTTATCTTGGCAAGTTTTTGAATCTGTTCTTTGGTTAATAACTCACTTTTCTGAGTTTTTTTTTTTTTTACAAGTTCTTGTCTGATTGATTTTCAGTTTTTCAGGTTGTTTTCTTGTTTCAGGTAAGCGTGTATGTCTTGGTGAGAACTTGGCAAGGATGGAGCTTTTCCTCTTCTTCACCTCCTTCATGCAGCGCTTCACCGTCTCCATGCCTGCTGGGGTCAAGGCGAAGTTGGACTACCAATTTGGTGTTACTATGGCACCATGTCCTTATGAAATCTGTGCAACATTACGTTAAGAAAAGCTCATCAACATGAGTTCTGATTATGAAACTCTTCTTTCAGATACTTTGATTTCATTAGTTACAACAGCCCATGTTGTTTAGTGTTGCTATCTCTTTTATTTTGTAAAATGAATGTCTTAAGCACTCAGCAATTAAGCCTGTCTTCAAGTTCAGAATTCAGATAACAAGCAACTACATTATACAAGTATTTCTCATTTTATTTCATTTCATTTTATTCTTTGAAATTGAAGATGTGTGATACATTTCAAACTTAGAGCTATGTGAAATTTTGTATTTCAGTATTTAATATTTTATTTTTTTAATTGTACATGATCTATCTACGAGACACATCACATTATATGGTAAGTAAGTTCATTATCCCTTTAGCCCTACCCAGATATGCTCAATGATATTGTAGGATACAGTACGGTTATATTAGCATCATTTTTGTAAAGCTCAATCTGCATTGCATAAACTGTATGCTGTTAGATTAATTTTAATTTACAATTTTTGGGATTCTTAACAGTTAAATCTTCTCCTTAAAAATGTGGTTCTGCTTCAGGTAACAGCGGGCCTTGTAAGACACTTGTTGATATGCTTACTAATCTGTAAGATGAAATATGCTTATTGACCTATTTTATACCAGAACCCGAAGATTTAACTTACACAAGATCTTAACCCTAACTGTTCAACAAAGATAAAATCTGATCTTTTGGATAATACTTTTTGGATTAGAGCCGACAACACAAAATCCACCCTGCGATATTGATGACCTTGCTTTAGGCTTTTACTGTAGATATTATAATTTCTGCCATTGCACTGATGGTCACATCCCTTGCCAAATGATTGGATTTAAATCTTATTTAATCCAATAAGTGAAAGTTTTCACATAACTTTAAAAAAAATGGAATTCACAACATGGAAATATCTTGTTATTGTGAGAAAAGGGTATTTAGATAACTAATCTGTTATTTTTATTTTTCTGTCACAACTGCTACATGTTGCCATAACTTTCAAATATGAAGCAAGGCTTGAACTCATCAGGTGAACTTAACATATGTTTTACATATACAGTATTTTGGCACACGGTTATTGTTGCAGACTTAAAGAATAACAAATACTGCAGGGTCTGTCTTTTTAATGGTTCTTTTACTCGACTTAATTTTATCAAATAAATGTTTTGAACACAATATACTATGTAAGTATTATTTATAGTTAAATATTGTCACATTGACAATTTGAACATCATAGTATTCCTATAATATAAAACTGCATAACACAGTGAAAGAGACATTTTCTGGATTACTGTAACTGTTCTTTTCATACTTTAAATATTGTTCTCATAATATCTGGCATGTGCACAAGTAACATTTCTCTAGTTTAAAAAGACAAGCCCACCAGACTAAATTCTCAAGCTCCCCCTGCTCCAAAGCTGGCAGACAATATGGTGACTGAAATCTGACAGTGGAGACAATTCGTTGCAATTTGCCAAACCCGGTTGTTAAATAGTATGAGCGTTTCTCATTGGTAATACCTAATTCTGGACCCCATCAGAAGCTCTCTCATCTGTCTAAACTAATCTTAATGAATAAATAAATAAACAGACTAAGCGTAAGTGCAGCATAATGATATACAGCCATAATAACATACTAAAGAAAATATTATAGAATAAATAAATAGCAGTGACACAGAGGCACCAAGTGCTTCTGTAAAGTAATACAATTTCTGGGGTTGAAAACTATCTTCAAGGCAGTTGGTTTGTGAAAGAAAACTGCCCATGTGTGCTGGGTGGGTAGTCCTGTAAGATGGGTAATGCATTCCTCCTGCAGCAGGTGGTGTAAATGTCCTGTACCTGTGATAGTGGTGGTCCAACAACTTTTGAAGTAGTTTTTACTGTCCTCTCGAAGTGTATAGTCCTTTGATGTATTGTGTCCACCCATATCGGTATGCTTTTTGTAAAAAACTTTTGAATTATCGCTCTTGAGAACTTCACAGGAGACAGCCGCTGATGTTTAAGGGCAAGGACAGCAGGTCAGTGACCTGGATGCCAAAGAACTTGAGGGAATTAACTATTTCAACAACAGTGTTATGAAGAACTTAAAATCATTTTTAAATCATTTTTAGCATTGATCAATGGATCAAACATTCACAGTGATCTAGACACCAGGACCTCAAACGAATCTTCTACTCGGTCATATTCCTTCATGAATACAGAAATAAACTCAGAAGACTTTTTTTGTTGATCATTATCCATCTCACAACCTGGAATGTAATGAAATATAGAGGTATTCCAATAGAGGAACAACACTTCTTCAAAGCTTACTAAAGGTCTCTTGGCTAAGATTATCCTTTTAGATCATTAAGCCATTCTGAATCTGAGAGGCAGTCTCATTTCATGGCCCTTTGAGGTGAGTCTCACTGACTCTTGGGATGCAGAGGGTCGCAAGGAAGACCCTGCTCGAGTCTCTAGCACTGAACTGCTCAGGGGGCTCCAAGCTACCTGGCTACTGGGTCAAGGTAGGTAACTACCTTTTCCACAAACAGCTCGAAGGCAAACTAACCGATTTAGGTAAAATTCTCAATTTAAGATTTTTTACCAAATTATTCAACCGAACAAATTTGTACAGCCGTTTAAAAAGGGTTCAAGCAGAATTCACTTACAAAGACAAAGTAGTGAATTTCATTAAATTAACATTTTACCAAAAACTAACTAAAAACTAAAAAAAACATCGTGTGGTTATGTTACGTCCCCTCGGCCAGAACTGAGCTATTTACTACAACCATGTGATGAGAATTGGTACTACACCAGATGGAAATAATTACTGCATCGCAAAACTCCACGGAAGAGAGCATATATCATTGTTGGAGCCATGGGTGGATGTAATTGTCTTTGTGGTATTTATCTAAGGTTAAGGTAGTCTGTTATATGGGTCAATGACGTGACACTCATTTTTTTTTGTGTCCATAAGGTTTAGTTAACTTTTAAAGGCTTAAAATTTAAAAATAAATGCACAAATGACATGCTTTCATCCTTTCTTATGAGGACCTAGTCTAAAATGTATATTTATTATACATTTTTAGAGAATAATTGGGGTATTTAGGCTTTACATCCTGTACATTTGTGTTTTTTAATGTTAATTTTATCGTTGTGTTGTTACTTTGTTGTTTTTATCTCTGCTCTGTAAGGTGACCTTGAGAGTTTTGAAAGGCGTCTTTAAATAAAATGTATTATTATTATTATTATTATTATTATTATTATTAATAATAAAAATGTCTAAGTGGTGTAACCGTTGAAACTTCGTACCAAAGAATTAAACTTGCTTTAAAAAGGTTAAATTTTCATACAACACCCTATGAACTAGCCTGGCATAATCTTACAATAGAACTGTTCAATAGTAAATAAAAGTAATGGAACATCATTGTTCTTATTATTATAATTATTTTAGGGAAATCATGTCACCCAGTCAAGTACCAAATTGTCAACATGGTGTAACCACCATTGAAGGAGCCATTTTGTTAATATATTCATCATATCATGTGACAAGAAATGTTATCACAAAGAAGAACCCCTGATGGTCCTAACTGCTGCAGGCCATGTTTAGCAACTCTCTTTAAAACATGAGATAATTGGACATTTAATTTGGACACAAATTTGATTTGAAGTGGAAATGTCAAATGGTGTAACACTATTTGACTTTTATGACAAGCCTTTCTGTTAGAGGCCACTTTTGTCAAATATCAGTATGTTTATGTTGATTAAAGTGGTTATTCATCCACAACCTTATTATCAAAGGTCTAGGACAAAATGCCCTGGCATTTTGTAAATGTTTAGCTTCAAATTGCATATTGTTGTTCCATTTACTTACATTTATAAAGGTGCACTATTATGTGGTATATGTCCATCATAACTCTAAACACAAATTGTCCTCAGATGAAAATTTGGTCCCTGTAACACTGAAGATAAAATGCTACTGGAGAAGTTATGGTGGTGGGCCCGCAACATATATATATATATATGTTATATGTCCAAACAGTGTTCCAGGGACCCATTTTTTGCTTTGAATAAAGTTTGTGTATTCAGTTCAGAAAATATATCAAAGAATTGTTTCACTTCTCCAACTTTCAAATTTCACAACCAAATCTACATAATGCACCTTTAAACATGTATGATCTAACATATGTATGTATCCTGTAATATTGGCACCAGGAGTTGCATTTTAGATGTGTCGGCTATTAGGGGCCATGTGGTAGGTAGTATCAGCGTGTCACTACCTGGAGCTTGCTTGCCAAAGTCTGGTACTATACAAGGTGGCAATGCTGTTTGTGCTGTGATGGCCATGATGTAAAGAAGGAGAGATGTAAAGTGTTGCCTGTGGGTATGTTATCCTTTGATTAGGGCAAAAGTACCTTGAGTTTATTCCAAATACTGAAGAAATGAATTCCCCCTGAAGATTCTGGTCAGATGTTGTAATTTACTTAAGATATGAATTAATTAAGGATGCACCGATCCTGACTTTGAATTTGCCGATCTATGAGACCCATCCAAAAGATCTATGCACTTCAGCTTTATTCAATTTCTTCAAGAAACAATGGCCTTTGACTGTAGAAGCAGTATGGTCAGTTGGTGTAACTGGTTTGCGTCAATTGGTGTAACCAGTATTTCTTGTAAAAAATATAATAATATACAGGACAATGAAAGTTGAATAAAAGTAGTCCTCTATTGCAGTGAAATAACATGTTTGTTTTTTTTTTAAATTACATAATTTGCCAAAAATTAATTCGAAAACAGAGGTGGTTTCAGCTTTGTGTCCCGCTCAGTATTGAAAAAGGGCATAACTTATAAATTTAGGGATAATCCTAATAAAATCTATTTTCTTGTGCTATTTTAAAATGAAGTAATTAAAATCACGAGTACACTTACATATACTCTAGATGTATAAAATATTCAATATTCTTAATTTTTCAGTGGTTACACCACATTTTTAGGTCCATTTAGTCTTACCTTTTGAAAAAAAAAAGTTTAAATGTCATTTTAAAAAACACAAAACCAACATGAATACAAATCTCACATCTTAATGAACCTGATGCATACTTTCAAATTGTGTTTTTAAAAGATTTTTGAATTGGTCATCTGAACAACCCTTATTTGTCACTGACCCATATATTGGTGTTTTGGGTTATTGATTATTTTATCATTTATTAGGATTGTGTTGAGTGGGGGGGATGTCGGGTCACATGGGTGGACATGTGTTGATTTAACTCACCTGTTCACTTTTTGTTCTCAGTGGAAGAGAGGAGGTGAGCTGGTTTACCATATTTTTTTTTGACCGCTATTGTTTCTAGTTCACTGTGATTATGAGTTAATGCACGTTATTATAAGTTAAGTTGATTATCTTTTTTACGTTAATAAAAAAGTCAAACTTATTTTGACGTGACACAGTATTCTTTTGAAAGCGCGTCAGACAAATATATTAGGCGCCCAACCTCAGCCTCTCAGCGGCTTCATTGTTCAGGAAAGCCACTATAATCATGCTTCGTCTTTTACTTACTTTGAGCGACAGGACATACTAAGGACATGGCGCAAAAAGAGAATTTTCCTCCGCTTTATGGCAGCAGTTTCGGGGTTTTTTTTCTGCTCCATCAACATGCCAATAATGTCCATAATATTATGTCCTTACACTACCACCTGTTGGATGAACTGAATAGCCCTTACGCAGACGGCGAGACTGGCTTAAAAGCAATGATAGGGTTTTCGAGCTGTTCAAACATTATGAGGTCTAATGCAGTGATTTGGTCCAATTAGGCTACAGAACAAATTGAGCTGTTAAGTGCAAGATGAACAAAGCTTAAACACAAAGTCCGTATAAAATGGTTTAAAGGTTTCAAAAGTGTCCAGGCAACATAGCCTATTTTGGCTTTTTTAAATAAAACACCCATTTAAAGACCATTCCCATTCAAAGAAGGGAATTTGAAAATCACAGATTTAAATATTTGCAAAGACGACACCATCAGAACAAAGTGCAACGAACACGGTACAGCAGAAGTAAAAAAAAAAAAAGTTGAAAAGGTAGGCTACAGATATTTAAGAAAAAGGTATTATCAATCTAGCTCTCTATTGGTCTTACTCTCCTAAGCTAGCCGGCGATACCCACCAACAGAGGCCAGTCCAACTCAGGTGATGATAGGACAA